GATATGAGAGATGGGAACATGGGTGGAGAGAGGAGATGGGGTCTAGAGCCTAGGAGAGACTAGGGAAGGAAGTAAGATGAGTGAGAATAGAAACAGGAAGGAGCGCACTCCTGCAGTAGGAGGGGAGGTGGGTGTTGATAGAGATGGAGGGCCGAAGGTGGGGGATCTTGAATAAAATGGTGACTGTTTGGCATAGCCATTATAGAGAATGAGAAATGGCTCATAAGCATTCTTTGCTCACTTTCTCCTGCCTCCAAATTGGTTTTGTTTGTTGCTCTACTTAAAATGGCAGAATACATGGAGTGAAAAAGGACCTAGCTAGAGTAAAACAGCAGGAAAGATCGTGCATCCGTAAGTACCGTGTGTACTCACGTTTGACTCTCTTTTCATTTTTCATTATTTCACATGTGGACAGTGTCCCAGATTACAAGTCCTTTGAAGACTAGGGTGAAGGAGGTAAATAAAACATTTACACTTTAAGCTGGTGGACTGAATTGGTTACTTGACAGGGCTATTGTGTTTTAGGTCTTTTGTAAATTAGTGGATGAGTAGAAGAAGCTTCTCTTTGGAAAATAACTTAGAATTGCTTTAAGATTCAGGCTGTGTTGATGTGATCCACAGGGCTTTAAATCTATAATTGACAAGGGACCAAACTTTCAACCTTACATCATTTCTGATAGGAGAATATCTGTCAGTAGGTTTTGCCCTTATAGTTTCAGAGGAAAAATTAATGCTTACTGCAAGATTATTCATAGATTTACAATGCTGCGTGTAATTAACAATTTGCAATCTTTAGCAGAAGAAAAAGGTGCCAGTGGCTTTAACCATTTCTTTGGATTTTACCAGTCTTCTTTCAGATATTAAATGTGTCTTTGGCAAGACTAATACGGTGGTTCTCAAACTTCAGTGAGCATCAGACTCACCTCGAGGGCTTATTAAAACACAGACTGTTGGGCCCCATCCCCAGCGTTTCTGATTCAGTTGGTCTGGGGTGGATTCCAGAATTTTCTTTCTTAACAAGCTCCCAGGTGACATGCTGCTGCTGATCTCTGGACGACACTTTGACAAGCACTGGTCCTGTGGGAATTTAAATTCAGTTTCTGTCTGTGTTGATTGCGGGATTACGTTGAAAGGGGCAGTAGTTCATTTGCCTCTTTCTGACTCAGTGTTTTTCTCCTCTGGGGTTTGGGCAGGCAGGAGAAGGAGTCTTCGTTCATTCCGGTGACCTGGCTTCACAATGCAGTCAGGCCCCTGGGCACATTGCCTTCTTTACGTGCCAGGACAGCCTCTCCAGGTGAAGGCCATGGTGTGCTGATGGAGCAGTTACCCTCCACCATTTCCCCTTCAGCCTGCCCGCAAACCAGGAAACAGCACACACTCGCCCAATCAGAAGCAGCCGTATTTGCTCCTGACCCAAATCTTTGCCACCTCCTGGAGACTGCTGCAGTCCTAGGGCAGTGGTGGTGTGAGGATATGACGTGGATGCCCAGAGCCTTCAAGTGGCCGGCTGGTTGGCTGGGTGGTTGACCGGGGTTGGTCACTGAGAGGAAGTCAGGAGCCCTAGGTTCTATTTCTGGGTGGACTTCCAACTCCTTGGGTGACCTTGTGCAAGCCTCCTAATCCTTGACTTCCCCATTTTGACCCTTATGTTTATGAAACATACTCTCCCGCTCCCAATCCATAAAATAGCAGAAAAACAGAAACCCAGGTCTGGTGAGGGGCCTCCAGGGCATTTATGAGCTGATATGTGGAACTCTGAGTGCCTGAGGAGAAAGCTGCTGTGTAAACACAATACATTATTAATCAAACGTTAAAAAATAGCATCGCAGTCTCTGCGAACAATAGCTGCTTCAGGCTGTGGGAGCAGCTCTGACACACAGGCTCCCAGCAGTGTTGAAGGAAGGGTGACTGTGGTTTTTGAATTTGTAAAACATTGAAGAGAAGATGAAAATAGGTTCTTAAAACATTTTTGATCATATTCATAGGTATATTTATGAAGAAAACATGACAGCTCTGTAAAATTCAACTTTAGTAAACCAAATCATCAATTTATTTTGATTTTCATTACCTTTCAGAGTAGTTTTCCAATGTGGCTATTCCATAGGCATTTTGGCTGAAGTCTTAGGAGTCTCTTTCCTCTTCCCATCCCCATTGGCAAGCAGTTCATGCCCCTTAAACTCCGTGGGGGGAAACTTACAAATCAGTTATGATTACTTGATCAGTTAATGATTACACCCATTCTCAGATGCAGAAGGAGCACCTGCTACATGCTGCTCTAGATAGAGATATCAAAATATGGTTCTTGCCTTTAAGGGATTTGTAGTATAGTTTTGATGAAAGATACATAAGCAAGATATTATGTAAGGAGACCATTGCATCCTTTATACCTGTTTCCTTACGAAATGTAAACAGAGTCCAGATCTACTTTTTGTGCATTATAGAGGTGTGCCTCCAGTGATCTGGAGAAGGAGAAAGTCCTGCAGCATCACTGTTGCCTGTCAGGAAGAAGCTCAGACATTTGTTACTTTTCCCCCCAGAGGAGTTCGGAGAAGGGGGCTTCTTGAGGATATTATGACAAACAGCCTGTAGAAGATCTAGCACTCAAGTGGTGGCAGCCCTACTCGTGTCCCAGGGAGAGAAAGCTGCTCAGTAAACAGATAGATTATAGTCTCTTAGGGACCATTAGACCCCGTTCCTTCCTCACCAGCTGGGATGACCATTCCTTCCCCGCCTTCTGTCCAGAGAGTTGTGGCTTTTTACCCCATGGTGGAAGCTCCCTAAGGACAAGGCCTCACCTGAGTCTAGGCCTGGGACTCTCAGCCCTTGTGTACATGGGAATTGCCTGGGGGGCTTTTAAACAAATACAGATGCCTGGGTTCACCTCCAGGGGGTCTGATAAAACTGAACTGGAGTGGTTCAACTGCACAGCTGTTCACAAAAAAAATCCCCAGGTGAGCGCAGTGTGCCATGAGGGTTGAGAAGCACTGAGCTGGTGGCTGAATTTATCTGAAAGTTGAAGGAGAGAGTCTCTGCTAGCCACCCAGGAGTTTTTTGAATGGAGAAAAAACACATCACAAAACTTAGCTTGGAGGGCTATCCTAACTGTATTCTCTACCTGTAATGGGACCTCTCATGGTCCCATTTGCTCACAGGTAGAAATGGTGATTTCAAGTGCCAGGCACGGCTGGCCCACAGCCCTCTTCCCTGTGGGCACAGTTGGGACTCAGGGGCCAGCTGCTTTGGGAGCATTGATTCCCCCAAGCCCTGGGATTCCTTGGTCTTGTTCCAGCATCTCATCACTGGTGGCCCTCCTGTAGGGCGCCTTGCTCCTGCACAGTGCTCCTCTTGGCTGCAGCCTCCTTGGCCCCAACTGCCCTGCAGGACTGAGGTGACCAACTGCAGGCTCACTGCCTCACCTGAGCATTCTTCACTCCTGCTGCTGCCTCAGTGTATACTTTGCCTGCATTATCTTTTCTCCCCCTTAAATGTAGGGTTTTTTTTTTTTTTTTACTCCAGGCTTATTGTGAAGATGAATGGCAACCATGGTAGATCTCCATTTGGTGTATAGGGCCAGGACTTCCTCTTGCTGAAGTCTATACAAAGACGCCCATAGAGATTTCCTATATCTCTGTGTTCTTGGTGATTTGCCCCAGCCTGCAATGATGCCTTCTTTCTGTCTGTATTTTTGAAAGACTAAAACCTACAACTAGAGTGTGGATTAGAAGCCTACTGAATGGACTCCAAGCAGCCTTGTTTACCTGCTTATTTCTGGCTTCTGGGTTTGGGGGAACATGTCTGTCCACAGGTTTGTTGATATCCTAAGTAGGTGCCACTTCAACGTTATGTGGGCAATTTTGGACCATTCTTTTAGTCCAGAGAAGGGAATCCAAGATGAATAATGAAAAATGATTTTATTTGATAGCTGGGGGAGTAGGGCTGAGGAGGCTGCCAAATGATGGTGACATCAGGTGGGGACAGGAATGATCTGGAGCTAACCGTAGTCATTCTTGCATCTTTTCTCTTTTCTCTCTCTTTTCATTTTCATTTGGTATTTTGACCCTTGTGTTACTGTCATCATTTCCTCATGTTTACTTTCATTTTCCATCTTTCTTGTGAGTTGTTGTGTCTGGGTTGCCGGACACATTTCCTAGGTCCTGAGCCCCTTAGACCTCCTTGCTGGCTCCCACCCCACACCCCTGGCTGTGTGTCCTCTGGCTTCACCCTTGGCCATGTCCCTGACTTGCTCCTGCCTCCTCCTGTGCTGGGTGTCTTGGTTGACATCATCCTTCCTTCTCTCATTTCTTTTCTAAGAATTGCTCCATCTTACCATAAACACTGTCTTTTGTTGTTACCAAATCATTCCTCCTTTTTATCTTTGGGGAAAATCCAAATGTGTCCATCACATTATGTCATAAAGAGACATCCAGGGTGGACTTTTATTTCCTTTGTTTAAGCCAACATTAATGGGTTACGTTTTTATGCTCTGTGCGTTATTTCATTTCATCTTCAGATAGAAAATGTTATTCCCATTTGACAGGTGAGGAAATAGAGGCTAAAAGAGGCTCAGTGGTTGGACCAGGATCAAGCAACACATTAAGTGGTAGAGTTTGGGATGTCTCAGGCCAGAGCCACCTCCACTCTTTGCTATTAAACTCTGTACCCTCCAGCTGGAGGAGGAGTGAAATGTTGTGTTTCCAGGCACGGAGTATGGATTTCATGGCCTTGGAGACCCTTCCATGCCAGCATTCATGGGATTCTGTCAGATTATGTGGGATGGTAAGCCCCTGCACCATGGGGTTGATTTTGGTGATAAAATTTGAGCTATATTCTCCTAGAGATGATTGGGTCTTAATTCTGAGGCTGTGGGTGGTCACCATGGGAGTGTGGCAAATTTTGATTGAGTCGTAATACCTTGCCTTGTGTCATTGTCATTGTCACTGTGTAAATCAGCAGGGTGGAATTCTCCCAGTTAAGATTTTCAATGTTTTGTTTCTTTGCAGAGCCTGCGTCATCTTGGGGGTGATATTCCTTCTGTCTTCCATATGTATAGTGGTCAAAGCCATCCATGACCTCTCAACTAGGCTGCTCCCAGAAGTGGTAAGGTTCTTCTTCTTCCTTAATAATCTTTCCTGGACGTATCAGCCTCCTGTGTTACCTCTCACCACAGATTTACTGGGGGAAGTTGGGTGGGTGGGGAGAGAATATACACATCATTTTAGGAGTCCAGAACTCATTGCAGAATGTGAATGACTTGGCAGAGAGAAGCATGGGGCAAGATGAAGAGCATTCAAGTAGTTGAGCTGGTACTGAGTTCTGTGTCCCTCTCCTTAGATCTTCTGACTATTTTTAAAGCAAGATGTCTTTTGTGTTAAAGACAAATGGGATGACTTTTATATAGCAGAGTGATCCAGTCAGTGTTGTTTGCATCTGTTGTTCTGTGTCCATTCAATGACTGTGAGAATTATTTTTTCCCTTTGCCCCTCAATTCAATACATAAATCTATTCACATTAGGTTTTCTAGCACAACTGGCGTTTGGATGCAGAAACTGGAGGACACCATTTCGTATTAAAATGTGTCTTCGACTGCTTTGTTCTCTGGGTGACGGTCATTACCTGCATTCTGATTCTTTTTTTTCCCCTCTCCTTATGAATACTGAGAAGAGAGATATTTTTACCATCTCCTGTCAGGCTGTCTTCATAGAAGGCAGCCAATTTACTTACAGGGAGATGAAGATGCTGCCATTACAATGATTGTCTTTATACAGTTGCATAGTGATTTAAATGCAGAAATATGGACTCTTAGAATGTGATTTGATTTGAGCTTGGCTACGTGCACCATCATCTTATATAAGGCCTAAATTATTAGACCTTTAATTTCACTTTTAGAAAAATATACGTTAATCCTTTCTGGGGTAATGTATTGCATTTGTGTTTGTATGCGTATGTTTATGGGGAAGACACAAGAGAAGTGGGACACTATACTGCATTTAGTACAGCTATTAAAGCAACTGCTTTAAGTTGCCCCTACTGCCCACCTTGAAACTGAGATTAGAGCCCTTCCTTTACTAACTCACCAGGATCTTAACTATTATTTTTCATCACAGCTGGCCAGAAGCTTGTTCTCTGATAGCTCAGTGACAGGGAGGAAAAATGGATACCAGGGTAGGACTGTACGTGTGTATGGTTTTTAGTCTTTTTCAGCAGAGCTAGCTCAAGCAAATATTACTATTTATTGTGCTCTGTGCTCTTCATCTCACTATTGTGCTGTGTCACGTGGATCTTCCTGGTTACCTGGGATCCTGGACTTTTCCATCCTTGTCCTCCATCAGAGTTGCTGTCCTGTGCACCATTCTGTCAGAATCTGAAGCTTAGGTAAAATGTAGACATGGAAGTATTAAGTGTGATTAATTAACATGTCAATCAGATAACGCCTTTGCATTTTACAAGGGATGGAAATCTGATTCCACCTTAAGAAATGTTTATTGGTGGGAATTTTCAGCACTCGGCTAGTTGATGCATTCATTTATTTAGGCATTAAAAATTAATTTCCACCAGGGCTAACTTGGTGTGGAATGGATAGCTGTGCTCGCGGACCCTTGCAGAGGCCCCCACCTTGTTTTTCTCTTGATAGCTGAACCATTTTTAACTGGGAACAGTTTCATATCCTATGGGCAAATACTCCTAAGAGAAGCAGCTCAGTGACTTAAATTCCATATCCAGAAATAAATGTCTAAGGCCCTGCCCAGGTGGGGGTCAGAGAGAGTGAAGAGCTGCACGATTTTGCACAACACTGGGCCTGTCCTTGGAGAACTCACACCCACTGTATCTTTTATCAGTGCTGGCCTGGGATTAAAAATCCCACCCATATATGGTTATCTCATCAGATCTCTAAGAAAAGACACATAACGTGGTTTTGTTCTTCTTTTTTGTTTTTTTAAGCCTTTGGAGGTATGGAAAGGTAACAAAGGTGTGTGCTGCGTTCCCATTGCCATAAGGGAGGCCTTCTATTCACCTGAGTGGCACACTGGAGCTAGGTAAACGCTGCCAGGTGGTAGCTGACAGTTTTTCAATCCTGAGTCTTTGGGTTCCCTCTCCCTGCTCTAGAAGTTGGGGGGAGCCAGTAGGCTATGGCCAGATCCCTGACCCCAGGCCTGCAGTAATTCAAAATGAGTGTTCGTCCACAATGATGCCTCTAAATTGGGAGTCACAAACTCAGATACACACAGAAGCCAGGCCTCAAAACAGGAGAAACTGCTTGGGTCTGTGGCAACTAGAGAGTGTGCCTGGATGAAGAGTCTGCCCTTTAGCAGAGTTACTGTGCCCAAGTGTGGACCCAGGCTTGTCAAATCTTCCAAGTTTTTAAGAGAAAGTGAAAATCTATGTTTAGTGTGAAATAAATTGGCAACCAATTGAAAAATTTTGACAACCCTGGTTGGGAGTGGGTGGACAATTTCATGGTGCCAAATAAAGCATGCCTCTTGGCTGCTCATGGCCTGTGATGGTTGAAACCAGAGAGACTGGTCTTTAGGACCTTGATGTCATGAATTTAGGTCTGAGTTACAGCTTCACCCTTGCTCTCAACTGCAGAGAATTGCCTTGATTTCTATCAAGTTGTTACTGTGAGTTTGTCAGAAGCAGCATTTTTTCTACCCCAGGCCTGTTCCCCTGGTAGATTTCTTTGTAATGTCAGCTGCATAATTCTCAGAGTGAGAATAATTGCAAGAATGGATATGTTTTGGATAAGAAAGCTATGCAGGTAGGAATTTCCCAGCTGTGAAGATGGTTGGCTCTGAGCCTTGGTGGCGTCGTCCTGCTCTCGGTGTGGTGCTGGAGAAGTCAGGCCACCTCATCTCTCGGGGGAGCCCCGGAACTGGAATCCATGGCATCTGCTACAGGGGCTTCATGAGCAAATGATGTAAGTCTGCTCCCTCACAACCTACACGTGGTTGCATTGGATTGTTAATGGAACGGATTCCGAAAGAGCCGTCTCAGAAGCTCTCTGTGAACTGTGACTCTAAGATTGGGGAGAGTGGGAGGTGCTGCAAAAGCAGTGGGAGTTGTGCTTGCCCTGTGTCTGTGGGTTGCTTGGAAAGGAGCAACATCCTCTTCCTGTTTTTACCCCTACCACACCCTACTTTGGTAAGGAGGGCAAGGTCGTATGCTTCTCCTTTTTGGTAGGACACGGGGGCTCTGAAAGCTGAAGTGATTTTCCCGTGGTCGTCAGCTGGCTGGTGGCAGAGCCTGGATTTGAACCCTTGTCTCCTAGTCTGGGGGTACTGTTTTGGCTCCTGGTCCTATGGGCTTATATGATCCTGTTTTTCATTGGCTTTTCAGGTCTGGCCTTCCTGTCTTACTTCTTATATTTGGAGTGGGATCCTGCTAAGGGCTGTCCTAGAGGTGGGCTGTCCAGGTCCCCAGCTGTTCCCATGCCTGGACTTTCTGGCTACTCCTGCTACCCCCACCCCTCATAACACTTTGCACTCTGTGCCACTGACCAGGGTGTGCCCCCATTATGTTGTCTCTTGAAAAACCCACAGGTAGTTTAACCAGGAAGCAATGGAAAATGCAGGAGAAGTATCGAAGGAGGGGGATCATGGGATGCCTGGAATCACATGGAAGGAAGTGCTTTAGGGAAGCTGCTAGTGTGGTGGAAGGGATGTGGGCGTGATGGGCGGCTGACCTGAGGGAGGTGTGAATCTCCTCTCTGCCTCTCTTATCTACGTGACCACCACAGCCAAGTTACTTAGTCTCCCTGACCCTGGGCCTCCAGATATGTGAAATGGAGACAATACTTAGGTCAGAGGTTTATGATGAGGACAAAATGAGCAATTTATTTAAAATAATTGGCATTAGAAGACAGTACTACTATGGCAGCTACTGCTCTTAACTTTCTGAGTTTTTATGTTTCTGAATCGCAAATCAAAGTTACCCCAGTTTGTGGCCTGTGGTAACGTCAGACTGGGCTCTTCAGTCCCTTTTACCTGCCCCCTGCTCTCCCTCTGGCTAGCTGGAACTGGTGTTCTCTCTTGGACTTCAGATGGTCATAGCCAACCTTGGGCCATTCTTTTGGGGAACACTCAACAAACACGCTGACGGAAGACCTATCCTCTAAGCTGAACTCACCACTCACTGGCTGTGTGACTTTTGGCAAATCGTATCTCCTCTCTGAGCAAGTTTCCTCTTTGTAAATGGGTGTCATGCCACCTACTCGACAACAGAAATTGGGAGAATTAAATAATGTAATGAATGTGTTCTATAAACTGTCGCATATTTTATGAAAGAAGGAGATGATATTATTTCTGATTCCAAGGCCCTGGAAGGCCCATCCTTGCCCATGAGCTTTCTCTCCATGTCCTTTTTGGTTGGACCAGCTCAGGTCTACCTTCAGTAGACCATGACTTCTTTACCTTGAGCTCTTGGCCAGTGTCTGGGTCCAACCTCCTTAAGTGGTCATGTGGTAGTAATAGTGATTATAATTAAAATTACAGTAATAAATGGTCATAAGTAATAAGGCCATAAGTAATAGATAGCCATATGTTGATAATAATAATAATTGCTACCCTTCGAATGTCTACTGATCCCCAGACCCTCTGTCTAGGAACTGGGGGTTCCAAGTCAAATAATACTAATGGCTAGAGTTTTTTCATTGCCCTCGAAAGCCCTTGACTTATCATAGGAGTTGGCTTTTGTTGCCGAGGAGCTCACAGTCAGCGAGAGAGCCATAAACCGATGCATTTGGTTTATGGTGATAAGGAAAAACACGGAGAAGATGTCCATATCAAGCCTGGCAGTAGGGGAGGTGTGCTGGGGCCTTCCCAGAGGAGCAGACCCTCCACATGACATGTAAAGGAAGAGTGGGAATTGGCAAGGCAGGCTGTAGTGGGGAGGGGGGAGGGGGACACATGGGGAGGAGGGGCTGCAGGTTCCCTCTGAGCCTGTTCTCTCTTTGTTTCCTGTTTACACAGCATCTCTGGGTGGGAGGAAGGAATAGAGAGAGAAAAATGCAAAGGAGAAGAGGGCAAAAGGAAGAAAGGAAAAATAACTTTGTGTTGGAAGTCATAAATGATTGCTTAGCAAAACTGTGTTTCTTCTTCCTT